AGTTTAAATGACACCTTCTCAAAGAGGCTTACCTGACTACTTTCTCTGAAGTAGGTGTGCTCCCTTTTCCTGTCACCATCGTTTATGTCGCAGTGTCTTGATTCCTTCACCAACACTTATCAGATTGTAATTATAATTTTTTGCTACGTGTTTATCTCTAAAACGTGTCTCTTCTTTACTATTACATCTCCATCACGTAGCACAGTGCCTGTCATTGAATAGGCAAGAAATAAATATTTGGTATCAAATGAATGAAACAGTCACGGATGACTCAGAATTCTGAAGTGAGCAACTAAATATATTGGCAGAGAGCAATTAAATATAGTGAGCAAGCTTGGAAGAAGAGATCATTTTTGCTTGCAAATGTTGACTTTAAAGTTTTGAATAATTTCAAGGTGACATCCAGAAAGCAGCTAACCACGCAGGTATGGAGCTCTGCAAGGACTAGAGCATCAGATTGGAGTTACAGAATTGGTATGTAACTGTTGTTTAAATTAGCTTCCGGCACTTTTGCGGACTTCCTGCCCTCCACCTCTGCTATTGTGGGTTATTCTCCTTCGTACAGCTCAGGCACCTCCGAAATACTTGCTGAGGATAAGAGATTTAAAGTCAGATGAATCCTTCATAAATAAGGTCCCCCCCCCAAAAAGATGCAGCACGTATTTAAGGCCTGCGACGCAAGTAATGAACGACCAGACCACTGCGTTTCCATTGTTCCCTGGCTGCGTGTTGGGACACCACAGCTATGAATACTAAGCGCAAACCGAACAATTCCTGTTAAACTTGAATGCAGCGTTGGAGCTAAACACCGGAAGCCGAGCTCTAAGGAGCGCTATCAGCGGACTTTGCCCCGCCCCGCCCCGCCCCGCACCCGGAAGAGCGGGACGACAGACCCGCCCCTTGACGGCTTGGGGACCGCCTCCTGTGGGGCGTGCCCAAGCACTGCACGCCCCAGACTCCCTCCACCTCTGGTGACGTCACCACACCCGTAAGCTCTAGTAGATTTTTGCAGCGTTTTCGAGCGCCGGACGCGGTGGCGCGCGCCTGTAGTCCCAGCTACTCGGGAGGCTGAGACAGGAGGATCGCTTGAGTCCAGGAGTTCTGGGCTGTA